AAATATAAAAAATAGAACGTGATATTAGATTTAAAAGTAAAAGAATGGAATTTTAATCTTAAAAGAGGTATGGTTAGACATAACAAAAACAGTTTGCTGTTAACATGTGTTAAGAACAACGGCAGCCCTGTTATGGTACTTGCAGAGTTTGGACTCTGGAATACCTGATAGACTGACTTGAAGATGACATATTCTTGCTGTAAAAAGTTCAATCATCATGCTGCACAATCTTTAGTATTCATATACTGAGCGATTCCGGATATCCACTTGCAAATATTAGCAGTGTTAGAGTAGTGGACGCCTTACCGGTGAAAGAGAAAGACCTAAGGACATATACACGAAGGGATCCAGTATTTTCATGAGTACTAAAATTAGCTCAATTGGGATGGAGTACGGATGATGATGATCCAGAAGTTAAAACTTACAAGCAAAGAAGAGATGAAAATACGGCGAGATCCTGGTGAGGAACCAGAGTCATAGTGCCCCAAAAACTAAGAGAAAGAGTCTTCCATTACAATATACGAAGGACACATCGAAATGGTCAAGATGAAAGAATTTGCACGAGGATACCTATGGTGGTATGGTGGCCCAAACTTGACTAAGACATGGAACTCAAAGTCAAAGTAAAGAACTACCAAGGATGTCACTGAGTAGCCAGAAGTCCTACGTCTGCTCCTTTACATCGCTGGTATTATCCAGCTCACCCATGCAAAGACTTCACCTAGATTTTGCTGGACCGGTTCTGGGAAAGATGCTCCTGGTTTGTACGGATGCACACTCTAAGTTGCCAGAGATTGTAATCATGAAAGACAAAACCGCAGAGGAGACGGTGAAAACACTGCGTTCTATCTTGGCTAGAATGTTCCTTCCTGAACAGATTGTTTCTGACAATGGTCCACAGTTCACTTCGAGTACGTTCATCCAAAGAAGTTTGCTGAAGAAAATTGAATACGACACACCATCGGTTACCATCCACCTCTACAAGTGGCTAGACCGACCGATCTGTCCATAGTTTCAAACATACACTGAAGTCCGGCAAGTCTGGACAATCAATCAAGTCTTGAAAAACAGCTCAAGCTAGATAGGTTCTTGCTCGCTTATCGAACAGAATCCCACGGCAATACAGACGTTACAGGCACCGCCCCTCCAATAATGTAGACGCAATTTTCACAACATTTGTCTAATTCATCCGGCGCTTTTCGAAAGCTGGCCAGTCCCGATTGCCCCCCCCCCTCCCCCAAATAAAAATTATACTCCGCGGTGCCTGCGTTAGCACCTCTTCTCTTTGGACGGTACAAGTTGAGAACAAGCCTGGGCCTCCTGATGCCGAATCTTAAGAAGGTGGACGGAAAGCTTCTTTAAAATGAAAGTAAACAGCTTACCGTAGTATTAACGGATCAGAAAGTGTAGATTAGGAACTATCGTTCTGGTCCAAAATGTGTGAGTGGACCTGTGATAGAGCCGCAATGTCCACTTCTATACAAAAAAAGAAACTTCAAACAGCTAAACTTGGTAACGTCACATAAAGCAACTGAGGAGTCGCTAGTCAACCGACTTACCACCTGCTGTGGGAGAAACCGAACAACTGTGGAAGAGATTTTCACTTCCACCAAAACAAATTGCGAATGCATCGCTATCTACCTATTCAATAGCAATTATATATACAAAATCATTTTTTGTCCGCAGTGAGGTTAGAACG